TTTTTTTTTTTTTTATTTTTTTTTTTACCCGCTTCTTTTTTATTAAACCGGAAAACGGGTCCGGCGTCCCTCACATAGACACTGCAGCCACCTGAGGCTGAGAAAGGCACTTCCGGGCAACTCATCCCCAACTACAGTCGACCAGCTACCGTGACCCCACCAGAAAGTTCTACCAATTCCAAATTGCAAAGAAGAAAGAAAAGGGAGGAACATAACCTGGCTGGCCGCAAAAGAAGAAACTACATTCCTAACAATCGTAATCTTCATATGTCCTACATTATGCACACAAACAGTATCCAATTATTCATGTCATAGTCCTATCTACCATCCTAATGCTTAGCTATCATTATGAAATCCCATTGCACAGTCCTACCAATTCCAACTCACCCACAACCTCGCATTCGTTCCTACAATTCCTTCGTATCTGAAACCACCCCCCAGTCTGTTTCAGAGGTGTAGATCTATCTGATGGTAATCCAAAAATCTATCCCAGAAAGAATTCAGAAAAGCTCAAAGTGGTAAGAGTCCCCGCAGTCTGGGCTATCACACACAGCCCATCAAAAGTTCCCCATCTGGTTCGAAACCATTTGACCGCTTTAACCGTACACCCTTTCTTCTGAACACGGAATTCCTAGTCAGCCGAGATCGCCAATTTCAAAAAAAAAAAAGAGAGCAATTGTTACGACGGTCTAGGGTCGACTCTTCATTTTCTTTTTTTCGATTGGGAATCTTGGCTTCCCAAAAAAAAAGGGATAGGGCGCATTAGGCTTGATATTTGGAGCCTAGCGATGGAGTCGCAGTCAGTTGGTTGAGGAGCCTAAGATCGTATTATAGGCGAATGGGCGTACTCACACTAGCACTATCGTAAATTGTATCTGACGGCATGGATGGCCCGACCTGTATGCATCTTCCCGCAATTCTGTCCAGAAATAAAATTTAAAAAGTGCTAACCCCCTCCGAGGTCTAAATGTATCTGACCACCCCACCTGTCTGCATCTGGCCGCAATTCTGTCCAGAAATAAATTAAAAAAAGTGCTAATGTGAGTATGCCCTGATCCATGGTGGGCTCTCCAGAGTCCGGAATGCTGCACAGGGTGTGAGGGTTGCCATCACGGCGAATATGGTATCACTTCCAACAAATGGAATTCCAATACAGGCAGGCAGGCAGGCAGGTAGGCAGGCAGGCAGGCAGGCAGAAAGGAAGGAAGGTAGCTTCTCCCTTCACTGACTCGGGGATGACCAAGGAGGTGTATTGGCAAATGTAAGGGGATCCTCGGCACATCACACACACACACACACACACACACACAC